AGAGAGGCACAAAAAAAAAAAAAAAAAAAAAAAAAAAAAAAAAAAAAAAAAATTTACTGTTTGTTTTAACTTTTCAGTTCCTTAGTTTCCTCTTCTGTAAAATGAGGCTAATAATAGTATCTCACCTCAATGGGTTAGTGCAAGACTTTAATAAGTTAATACTGGTAAATGACTTAGTACAATCTCTGGCATCCAATAAAATTCAGTAAATGTCTTCTATTCTTACATCATCATCGTCATGTTATAAATTCAAAATAATAGACATTAAGTTGTAATCAATTATATTTTTATAACTATCTTCAGAACAAATACAATTTTTTCACTTAAGTTATTTTACCAAATATGTGATTTTAGCCCATATAATGTAGACACAGACAGGGCTGAAGTGTTACCTTGCTAAAGAAAATAACTGTACCTGAAAGTTACTTCAACCTGATAGAACATTCTGTTACTTCAACCAACATTCTCTTCAAAGCACAATTTCTGGAGTGTTGTGCAACTATTTTGCTTTTCTCAATGATCACATAGTTTGGGTAGGTTTTATTTAGACATTATAATGTTATAAATAAAAAGGGAATTCAGAGAGAAAGGGCTTATTGCTAATTAAGGGTAGGTAACAAAGACATAAATCTCTCTCTTTTAGGCTAGTTCTCCCTAAAGATAACACCAAAATATTTAATCTCATTTTTCAGTGTATTCATCGCACAAGGTTAAAAATACCAGCAGGTGGCAAACAAAAATACGCAATCAGCATATTATCCTAACAGTAAAATATTTAAGTATTGTATGTGTGTGTTCTAGGGTGGAGAGGGGAGGAGATGGGAGGTATTGGTTAATTCTGGTTATTAAATTGCTACTTAACTAAGGACCCAAGAAATAATCTTCCAGCATATCTTTTATAAGTCAAACTCTTATAAAAGTCTGCATATAGTTTTGATCATATATTTTCCAGAAGACTTTTAAAAACATAAATATATGATAATAAGCACTAAAAATGTATACATTTTTAAGTCAGGTTAAAGTAATTGGGGCTGTTTAACCCTAACAGAAGGTTAAGCTATAACTTAATTACTGATTTCATGTATAGGAAAAACAATTAATGAGGATTAACCAGTTTCCCATAATTAGTGAAATCCTGAAATAACTGGGAAAAAGAAAAATTCCCCATTCTAAAATGACAAAGTAACAAAACACTGGTTAGCTACCAAACAAGGATTTAAATTTATAAAGAATTCTGGTATCTTTTGTTTATTCATTCTTTAGGGAAGAATTTTCAAAAAACTTAACAAGAGTAGAATATTATAACTTCAAAGCCTACCCTGTTTTTTTTAAAACAATGAGTTAGGCCAAATGATTTCTAAAAACTCCTCTACAATATTGTTTTCACATACAATGTTGCCTTTAAGATATATTATCTCTGCATAACTTGACATACTTGTACTTTAGAAAAAGTTCAAATTTTTTAAGAATACACAGAAGTTGGTCTTGCTCAAGAAAATTGCAAATTTGGTTACCAAGGCTAACATTAAACATAATATTGCCCCAGGTACATCTTTACCTCAAATTTAAATAAAATGTAAGAGCTTTCTTGGATGGGAATTTCAACAACTCATAAATTGTATAACGAGAACTTAGCTGACTAGCTTTTGTATTAGTACTTCTGTTTAATTTAGGCTTACAAATGAGTGGAGGGTACTCCCTTCTGGAAAATCATAATTGTCAGACTGTCAGATTTTGACAGCTGTGGAAATCATGAAAGCCTGAATATAATTTTATTTTCTTGGTCCTTTATATTAATGTAATCAAATAAGATACGCAGGTCAAGTAAACTACCATTAAAACTTAATTCTATGTCTTAGAGCCTTTATATATAAATGAAATTAAGGAATTAAAAAAATAAAATTACCTCCAGATCTTTAATAATATCATGTAGTTCTGAATCAGCAGTGATAAAAGATGTTAAAGGTGAATATATATTGGATTCATTTGACTTTGATGTCATTTTTCTTCTCTCTTTATTTGCTTCAGACATTTTTCTCTTGGGTATATGGGATGAAGAAGTAGGTTCTATGGCATTAATAGGCAAAAGGTCCTTAAGAGAAAAGGCATTTTCAAAACACAAATTTTCTTCTCGATGTGAATAAACATGTAGGTTTTCCATTTGTTTTCTGATGTTAGAAATTACAGAGCCTGAAAAATCTTGCAGAAAGTCCGAGGTTGACATCTTTTCTTGATTTGCAATACTGCTGTTACATACTCCCTCAATATCGGCTTTAAATTTAATTTCATCTTGCACTTTCCTTTCTTTTGTCATTTGTAATGCCAGTCCATTGACATCTAATTTTGACCGCCTACGATAGACTTTCCAATGTTTCTTCAGTTTCCTGTTTCTCTCCTCAGCTCCATGAGTACAGGTATTCGAGGAATCAATTCCATAAACTTTTAAGCCATACTTCAAGGACAAAAAGGAGCTTAGGTAGCCTTTTCCAGAACCCAGGTCAATTATCTAAAGAAAACCAGAATGAATTAAAAGGATTTTAGTCAGATGGTAATAGAAAGCATTCGTGATATTTTTTTTTTTTAAAAAGCAAGTAAAGGAATGTATAATTTATACAACCTGTTATGCTTTTTTTAATTTTAATTTTTGATTACTATTAAAAACCAACAACTCTCATCATTTTTATTCAATATTTTAAGAGAAGTTCTAAGCAGTATAATAATAAGTCAAGGAAAAGATGTAAAAGACATAAATATTGAAAGTAAAATTGTCTTTCTTCATAGATGACATGATTGTATCTGTAGAAAATTGTAAGGAATGCATACAAAAGTTAAAAGAACTAGTAAGTCAAGTTAGCAATGTGTCAAGATACAAGCTCATTAGAAATGAATAATGAACCATCAGAACATATGCATTACAGTAGTAAAGAACAATTAGAAAATAAAATTTAAAACCAATTGAATTAAAATAGCATACAAATAGAAATCTAGGAATAAATTTAACAAAGCTTATGCAAGACCTATATACTGAAAACTATAAAACATTGCATAGGAAAAATTTAAAAGAGCTAAATAAAGATATACCATGTTCATGAAATAGTTAGACTCAATATTAAGATGGTAATTCTGCTACACTGACATATAGATTCAATGCAATCCTAATCAAAATCCAAGCAGGGTTTTTAAAAGAAATTCATAAGCAGATATTACAGTTTATGTGAGAAGGCAAAGTACCTAGAATAACCAAAACGATTTTGAAAAGAAAACATTTGAGGATTTACACTGATTCAGGAATCAATATAAAACTACAGTAATCAGGGCTTCCCTGGTGGCGCAGTGGTTGAGAGTCTGCCTGCCGACGCAGGGGACACGGGTTCATGCCCCGGTCGGGGAAAGATCCCACATGCTGCGGAGCGGCTGGGCCCGTGAGCCATGGCCGCTGAGCCTGCGCGTCCGGAGCCTGTGCTCCGCAACGGCAGAGGCCACAACAGTGAGAGGCCCGCGTACCGCAAAAAAAAAAAAGAAAAAAACTACAGTAATCAAAACAGTGTAGTGCTGGTGTAAAAATAGATATATAAATCCATGGAATAAACAGAGTCCAGAAATAGACCCACAGTTATATAGTCAAATGATTTTTGACAAAACAACTAAAGTAATTCAAAGGAAAAGATAGTCTTTTCAACAAATGGTGTGGGTATAACTGGATGTCTGTATGGGAAAAAAAAGATTTTTGCATGTCATATGCCAAGCAGGCATATCTTTAATTCCTGCATAACTTTGTGACATTGGGAGGGAAAAAGATTTCTTATGTAGGACATAAAAAGCATAAACTACAAAGAAATAATTGAAAAATGGACTTCATTAAAATTAAAACCTTTGCTATTCAAAATACACAGTTAAAAAGGGTAAGAAATATTTGCAAAACATATATCTGACTAAGGGTTTGTATCCAGAATATATAAAGAACTCTAACAACTCAATAATAAGACAAGCCACCAATTAAAAAATGGGCAGAACATTTGAACACACACTTCACAGAAGAAGATATACAAATGACCACTATAAAAAGATGTCCAATATCACTACTCTTTTGGGAATTGCAAACTAAAATCATAATGAGATACACACAAATGTAAAACGGTACAGTCACTTTGGAAAACATCAGCAGTTTACCATAGAGTTAAAGCATACACTTATACTATACAACCTACAAATCCCACTCTGGGCTATTTATCCAAGAGAAATGCAAACATGTCCACAAAGTCTTGTATGTGAATAAATTCATAGCGGCCAAATAAACTGGTAACAACTCAAATATCCATCAACCAATGAATTGAAAAACAAATTGTGGTATATCTATACTGTAGCATACTACACCCAAAAATGAGGAATAAAGAGTCAATGCACATAAAAATATTGATGACTCTAAAAACTATGCGCTAAAGGATAGTCAAACACAAACATCTACATACTATTTGATTCCATTTATACGATGTTCTAGAAAAGTCAAAACTACAAGCAGAGCAGTAATTCCTTGAGAATGGAGGAGGAAATATCTTGCAAAAGGGTATGAGGAAACTTTTTATGGTGACAGAAATATTTTTTATTACAGTGGCTAAACAACTGCATGCAATTACCAAATGCATCAAAGTGTACACCTAGAATTGGTGAATATATAAATTATAACTCAATAAAACTAAAAATGATAAAAGACATATAAAATTACCAAGATTGTTTACTGTATTGTCATGTCATTTCATAAGAAATAAATGGATTACAGAAATATTATCATAGGAAATCATTATCCAATCTAATCTTTAATTCCTAAAATCAATTAAATCCTGACATAAATATGAGCCACTCAAGGAAAATTTCCTATATTTGAAATAATGCATATCATCAATGAAATCCTCAAAAATTTCAATTCAAGCAAAATTGCAATTCATAGGTAAAACTCCAATAAATGATGTCGGTTAAATAAGTGTCTAGCTTACAAATAATTCCCTATGTCCCCTTTTTAATGTTAATCTCTAGGCTAGGTATTATGGGAAATACAGAAGCATTATATATCTTGATCCTAAGGAACTACAATCTAACTGAAGATACCATACTCATGAATACAAGGGCTATAGAGTAGAAATTCTATTAATCAATTTCCCCATATCTGAATCTCTAGAGAAAGCAAAGCTCTCCATTCCCTTCCTTCTACAAAAACACATTCACTGATGCCAATGGCAGCTTAATGCTAGCAACCAATGGGTTGCTTGTAAGCATCAGGACATTTGTTCCCCCCAATACAGATGTTTTCTTACCAAGAGGTAATTGAGTTTGTTCCCAGATCTGCATATAATGATTCCACTTGTGAATGAGGAAAATTTTGGCTGCAAGTAACAGAATATCAAATTTCCATCACTGAGAAAAACTCACCTCACTTAAGAAATCTGGCAGTAGAGTAGCTGAACCAACCAGAGGCTCAACCACATATGGCCTTTGGGCCAACGTATTTGTAATTCCTCTGGTTGCAAGATGGCTGGGGAAAATCTAAGAATCATGTCTTCACAATATAATATCTGAAACCCTTTTCAGTAATAGGCAAAATTTCCTAGAAAAATCTATCAGCTCACTTATATCTTACTGACCCAAATTGATTTTTATCCCTCTCCAAATTGGCCTTTCAGTAATATATACAGTGTTAGCAAGAGAATGGCAAACCCTGCAATTAAAGGTTACATAAATCATACATAGTTTTGCCTTCAAACTCTCTTATCTGAGTAGCAAAACCTCCACAATCCTGATCTCTTACCCCTTACTCACAACGGTCTTTTCCTTCCTGGATCATCTTATAGGTTTGAAGATAGAGGAGTCTCCAGTGTAATACCTGGTGAGAGGTATCTTCCTTGTTTCCTAATTCTGCTTAGAAGACTTTCTCACAGAAATATTGCTACACATAGTGATCACATTTCTTAATATTAGTATTAGTATGGTACTATACTTCAGATAGGAGAGTTATATTTTGTTGACTAACCTGGAGATCTAACTACTATTATAAGCTAATGACTTTCAAATTTATAACTCCAGTATGGAATTCTACCGTGAACTTCATACTCATATCCATCAGTGTACCTAAACATTTCCACTTGAATGTCTTATAAGCATCTCAAATTTAACATGTTCAAAACTAAGTTCTTGATAGTCTCTGTAAAACCTACCCCTCCCATAATCTTCTCCATCATAGTTAATAGTATCTCCATACCCAGGTGGAGAACAAGACTCCTTTCTTTCTCTCATACCCTCCACCTGAATTGTGAAAAAATCCCTAGTCTTACCAAGGGTATTTCATACCAATTGCACCCTAAGTCTAGGTTATTGCAACGGCCTCCTCAATGATCTCCCTGCTCTCACCTTCCCTCCTTGAGTCTATTCTCAAGAGAGCAAAACAAAGACTGATCGTACCACGCCTCTAAGTAAAATCTCTCATCACTTCCCTAAACTTGTCTCCTGCTACTAACCTCCTTTGTTACTAAGCCTTTTGCCTCAACTCTGGAAGCTCATGCTTACATATGAGCTAATTTCTGAAAAGGACCAGCTTGAATGTTTACAAAGACTATGGCAAAGAGTGCAAAGGTAATGGAAATATTGGGTTGGCCAAAAAGTTCGTTCGGGCTTTCCGTAACATGTTACAAAAACCCGAACAAGCTTTTTGGCCAACCCAATCTTTGCTTCATAACACTCCTCAACACGGCAGTCAGAGTGATCCAGTGGCTCCAACGGCTTCCCATCTCATTCAGGATAAAAGCCCAAATCATCACAATGGCCTCTAAGACTCTACAACTTCATGACCTGCTTCTGCCACCCCAACCTCAGCTCCTACTACTCTTTCCTTGCTCTCACCACTGGAGTTAATCTGGCTTCTTGGTTCTTTCAAGAATACAACAAGTGGGGCTTCCCTGGTGGTGCAATGGTTAGGAATCCACCTGTCAATGCTGGGGCCATGGGCTCGAGCCCTGGTCCGGGAAGATCCCACATGCTGCGGAGCAACTAAGCCCACGTGCCTAGAGCCCGTGCTCCACAAGAGAAGCCCGCACACCACAACCAAGAGTAGCCCCCTCTCACTGCAACTAGAGAAAGCCCACACGCAGCAACGAAGACCCAACGCAGCCAGAAAGAAAGAAAGAAAGAAAGAAAAAGAAAGAAAGAAAGAAAGAAAGGAAGGAAGAAAGAAAGAATACACCAAGTATATTCCCACTTTAGGGCCACTGAATGTGTTATTCCCTCCATCTAAAAATTTTTTTATCCAGATATCCTAATGGATAACTCTCTTACCTCTTGAAGGAGGTCTTAACTCAAATGCTATCTTTACAATGAGGTCTTACTTGCCCCTCTCTTCCTAATCAAAAGCTTTAATCCCCCATCCCTGAATTAGCTACTTCCTTTTTATTTTTTTTCTCCTTAAAGTATATCAACATATACAATAAAATATACTTATAATGATTTTATTATCTATCTCTCCTCATTAGAGTATAAATGCCATAAAGGCAAAGATATGTTTTGTTTTGTTTACTACTGTATCCTCAGTATCTATAACGGCACCTGACACATGGTAGGAGCCAAAGAAATATTTAATAAATGAACACATGATGCAGATGTGAATAAATGAACATATTTTAGAAATAAAAATTAAGAAGTAAGAAGCCTTGGTAATGGGGATGAGAGAGGCAAAGGTTTTTGGCATGTAGGGAGCAATGTGGTTGAGGCAAAAATAAATTGTTTTTTTTTCTTCTCTGGTTCTTTTTGGTCACTAGTAAAGTTAAGATTTTAGTACCTGGGTTTCCAACTATCCCCATGAAACCGACATTTATTAAATCTGCTTTTTAAAAGTAAAAATAGTATACACGTCATATATTTCAAACTTAACTATTTTGAGAATCAAATATTGCTATTAAGTAATTTCAAGAGAAAGACCCTGTAAGTCTTTAATACAGGTTTTTTTCACTCACTAGAAACAATCTCCATCACTATGAAAAAAGTTCCCTTAGAGAAGGTCTAACATGAAACATGCTATTTCAAATTTGTTTTCTCTGCACTTTAGAAATAAAATAAATCCACTTTATTAATTTAAAGTTATTTATTATGTAATATTTCATATAAATAAAATAATAAATGTAGTTGAAATGTAAAGTTATAAAGCACAATAATAAATACCCCTCGAAGATTTAAGTATAAGTGATTTATTTGGGAGGTGAAGAAAACACTGACAGGGAAATAGAGAAGAGAAAAAAGAGAAAGGAAGACAGCCCAATAAAAGGTATGTTCTTAAGCAAAATACCACTTTAGGACAACCTGGGTTTAATCACACTGAGAAACTTGGAGAGCTACTGCAGAACACATACCTCATAGTCATCCCACCTGGGAAGTCCAGGAGTTGATGTATCTGTTTATCAACGTGTATTAGTCATTAATTCAAGGATGCTCACAGGGAGGAATTAATCCCCAGAACTTGTATGCAGGCAGTGCCGTGCTTCAGCAGACAGAGAAAAACCACAGGAAAAGAAATGTAGAAACTGCCAGGTAGAAAGCAGCCCAGCCCACCAAGAAATGGTGAGGCCCAAGAGTATCTGAATAAGGCATCCAGTAGCGTCTGCTATACCCATGAACCCACCAGCCATCCTAAGAACTAGAATGTTAGTATTTCCATTCCATATAACTATGTTTTCTTTCCATATCCCATCTCCCTGCTTCCCCTACCAGAGGTAACAACTATTCTCAAATTACTGTTTATGATTCCCTTGCTTCTTTAATGGTTTTTTTTGCATTAAGAATATACCATTATTTTGCTTAAGAGCTTTTTAAATATGATACCATAAAATACGTAGTCTTCTGTAAATTGTTTATTTTTCCCATTCATTTTTATGTTTCTAATATTCATCCATGTGTTATGTACAGCAGCAGTTTGTTAAATTTTACTGTGTACTTGCCCTTTTTACTCCGGTTGAGTATTACTGTCACGGTGAGCCTGTTACTGATCCTGATAGGTACTGCTTATATATGATACACTGGAGAAAAGGTTGAAAACTATTACCTCGGTTCTTGCCTTTTAGTTCCTACTCTAGAGATCTATGTTGCCATAAGTGGTTCTGCATGCCTGGCCCAAGCTGTGATCGTTTTCTAATCAATCTCAAACTCTCCACAAGTCTGAAAGAATACATGGAAAAGATTCTAACACCTAATAAAAACTGAAGAAGGGAAAAAAAATCTTCCATTACCCCCATAGATGTTCTTGTAGGGATAAGAAAAAAAACTTACTATTTTTATAGGCCAATGGAGGCAATCACTGATTTTATTTTAACATCTATTTTCAGACATTACTACCCTTCATAAAGGCTATTTTTTATAACAGGAATGCATTATAATTCTGACACTATGAAAGAATCCAAGTTTCTTTATGTTACAATAATGAGGCAGGTGCCCCAGACCACAGCATGGTAACCCAGGTCCTTGAGAACACCTAGGGTAAACAATTTTGCAGAATGCCATCTTCATAATGCTGCCTCAAATTGGAGTTACAACATAAGAAAAAGAGAATTACCATAGCTTCTATCCACTCTGGAAAGAGG